TGCCGTGCAGCTTGTGGAGTGGAACAAGTGTATTTAAGTAGATCTCTTAATGTGACATGCATATAGGACAGTAATTAGCGGGTTCACTAGTCCTAATTAGTGGGTTTAAATGGAGGAAGGCTATCGCTAGCTGTGCTTTTGATGTGTGTGTGGGAGATGTTATGCAAATCAAGTGCCATTTGTTCTGTTTGAGTGTGTACGTATGGTTGAAAGTAGAGCACATATGTGATACATTGGTAGGTAGATAAGCAGCGTTTTTTGTATTTCATGTACCAGAGAGGGTTAAGCTGTGAATGGTCAAACCAGTTGAAAGGTAAAATGAATATCGCACTATTTCCACGCAGCATGTTTGTATTGTATGTCATCATTGTACGGACTAAAGTGACAGGTGCAGATGGAGCACCCTGCATGACAGGTAACCACGCTAATTATGGTCCCGCTATTCCTCGCTAGCGTAGTATGGCATATTCTTTTATGCGGTGCTATTCAATAAGTAGCTCTGTGAAAAAGCTGCAAATCAGAGCCTATTCATGCACAAGCCTCTTGAGTTTGCGTGGTGTAACCAGCAGAAGACTGATTGAAAGGGTGTCAGTCATCCTCACAATATGAATGAAAGAAGAATTAATGCAGATTTTTATTCCTCTTCTCCAATGCACAGCACTTTGCACCCATGTATGAAAACATTTTGTACTATTTCTTAAAGTTCTTCGTCAGCTCTTTTGATTATCACATAACATCTGTAGTCGGAAATGTGTTGTACAGTGTACTTCAAATGGATATTAAATGCACTATGTTATAGAATGTGATCATTTTTTACATTAGGCTCCATTTTACTTGCTGATGTATGCAGCAAAGAGTTAAGTCTTTTTATTGGAGGTTTTCAGTGACCAGCATTAGACATACAGGAACTCAAAAGCTCATTATCGTCTAATAGTTAAGACCCAAATCCATTATTTTTCATTAACAATAAGTATTGTACAGGCTGTACCTTCCTTACTAGTTTTCCATCTTTCATGCTTTGATGCTATGACTCTGAAACACATATTAGTATTAAGGTAATAATATTATATTAGTGGTCTTAAACAACTATTTTAGTACTTGATTAAAAGTCATGTTTTGGCTAAAAATCTTCACACTTCCCTGGATACAGTCTAAGTTTTGGTTCCGAATTGACTGCTTATTTCGTTAGGTTTCTACAATACCAGACAAATAAATCTGTAGATTTGAGACTGTTGGTTACAGAAAGAAGACCTTTGATGACACATGATGGGCTCTGAGAAACTTTTTTTTTCCTGACCAAACAATCACTTATTATTAAAGAGGACAAGAATCAGCAGATTGATTGATATAAAAACAATCATGAGTTGCAGGCCAACTAACACTGCTGTAATGCATTCTGGAGTTTTTCAAGGCTTATGCACCCACTACTTAAGGTAGTCTTGTGTTGTGTTTTTCTGGGAGGTATAACATAATGTAAAACTTCTCTGAGCCTTCTCTTGGTCTTATGTGCTTATGTACGTGCAGTAGCTGTGTTATGGGGTTGTTGGTGTAGCCACACTGAAACCATGTTTTTCAGTCTAGTTTCCTGCTTAACTAAGTTGCTAAATGTCTGTTTTTTTCGTCTGGCTTATTTTGCTAACTTTGATTTGCAAGTCACACTGACTGAGTGACTCGCTGACCTACTGGTTTACTGTCTGCTCTGGTCATTTGCACCCACCATTACAAGTGATCACAGTTAATTGTCCTCAGTGAGTGTCTGTCCTTGAGTGAGCTAACTAAGAGTGAGTCAGCAGCAGTAGCAGAGAGAGCGGCGCCACTCAGCACTGCCGGCTGTAACTGCATGCAAACCACACACACAGTCAAATGAGTGCATGCACATACGTGTACGTTTGCAACAGGATATTGGTGCTGAGAGAAGGGTGCATTGTACAGGAAAATGATCACCCAGGAGAGATCGTAAAGGCTGTTCAACTTCACTATCTGCTTGCCAAATACCTGTACATGCAGTGTACTCTGTTCTGGTACACAAAGATGGCATTGTGGTGCATGTGTAGGGAGACACTATATATGTGCTGGCAAAGGGAACAACCTATATGCCACAAGTGCACACAACCACTGAAATGTGTGTGAACAGACTTTCTGTCTGAAGGTGGAGGATAAAGGGGTTTTAGTGGGTCTAATCTGGAGACAGGTTCTGGAAAGCTCTGGGACGCTGCTATATAACCTGGATTAGCACAACAGACACATGCAGAGCTGGAGGAGGAGGAGCCACAGCTGAGGCTGAAATGAATGTCTGGGTGTTAGATTGGAAACCAGTGTTCATGCTGCTATCAAGCCTGTAGCCAACACCAGATTAAAATAGGATGAAACTTCAATGACACTTGCTGGGGAATTGGCTGGTTTCAACAGCAGATAATGGGATTCAGCGGAGGAAGATGCTCCTTTTTCACAGGGAATTGAGTGACATTTGGGTTTGCATGGATGAGCAAATCAATCAGGAACTAATCATGATTGTCAGACAGACATTTTGAATAGGTCATGATTTGCCACTTGATGCACCGTAAACGATCGAGACGTTTGCTGCTCCACATGGTTAAATCCACTGTGATTTACTATGGTACCAAACATATATATTTATTTTATTTTATTTTATTTTGATAGCATTTATCCTGAATAAAATAATGAGGACGAGCCAGAGAAGCACTTTTTTGTTTTACTCACCTTGGCTTTGTATAATTATTTAAGATTCAAAGGAACACATTATTAATTAAAATTAAGAATGAAATAAAAATGTATTGCGCCCTTATAGTTTATACATGAGATCATTTAATAGGGTGGAATGTTAACACAAGCTAAAAAGTACGTTGAAAATTATTGCTCAAACTGTTGAACATGTAATTTCAGTGGTCGCATGTGGTGTTCGAACACGCTGACAGATATTGTATTTGTTTAATTTGATTTCAGCTTTGTGGTTAGAACTATCCAAATATACTCGTCATTATTTCCAGAGTCCAAGGCTTAAAACACTCCTTTTGTGGCTGGATTTGGGACTTTTCATCAGGGAGATCTTGAGCTGTAAGACTGGGTAATTTCACATCTTCCATAGAGATATTGAACACGAATGTCTGCTCCAATCTTCTCTTTTCATTTCTAGCTGAATTGTAAGATATGAGAGGAAATACATCATTAAACCTGTGGCTGTTACAACAGTGGGAAGGGGAATGGAGAACTAAGAACAGCCTTAACTTTTGTTGGGATGAGTTGAGTTATTTGGGATGAACTGTGAGAGGAATACTAATAGATGTGATGACTGCATCCAGATAGCCAGAGACTTCAGATGGTCAGATGCAGCGACTGTGCAGCCAAAGCCAACGTGACTCAGAGGCAGAACCTTTTCCATCTGCGGATGTCTTGACATTCAGTTCTCATAACAGTGATAGCAAATTAAAAATGCATGATGGTGATATTATGTTACTGACTGTTCTTGATTATTTTACTGGAAGAAGTTTTATTGCAAAGGAAATTAAGACCTCACATGGCTTTGGTTCTTGCTTTTGTGGCTGTCATGGTGAGATTTGGTTACTGCTGATTTATGGAATCAGTGCTGAGCTCCAATGATTCTTTTATTGACAATTTATTAAATGGTTATGAAAGAGTTTGTGTGTTTTCTTCCTCCTGTCAAATTTGTACTTACTGTGGGCTCATTTATCTTTCGTGGAAGTCATAAACTCGAAAATGTTCTTGCTTTTTAAAGCCATAAATCATGAAAATAAGACAAAATGAAAGTTGAATTTCTATCTATTGAACAAAAATTTAAAAAACTTCGACATGTGCAACATTTTTGTAGGTGCTCACAGGTGTTGTCAATACTGAAAAAAAATGTTGGATCTACATACTTAAAATATGTCACTAGTTACATTTTAGTTTGTTTGCAGACATGCTTCATAACTGCTCTTTGTAAACACAGCCTGCAGTTCAATAGATGTTTTGTCACGTGACTGTGGGTCACAGATGTGTTGCTAATGGCTTCCTGCTTGTGCTGAGGAACACGGAATAGTCGTTTTCTTTTTACACAATCTGGCTAGTGTAAATTCTTTATCGTAGCAAATCTTTAAATAAGACATTTAGAATAATGTGGTAATATCAGTCATGTAGGCCAAGACTTGGTTAATTTTATACACTGAACTTTACACAATTAGTTAAAGGACCGTCAGAAAGACAAACTGCTGATTCTCTCTGTTTTTACAGTTTGTGGCTCTGATAAACCGTGTCATTTAGTTGTTGTTTTTTTCCTTTTAAAGATAGCATGCTTTCAGAGGGTTAAAGTATTAAAATATTGCCAAAAAGTTCTTCTGTTTCAGCTTTCAGACATTCAGAATAATTGCTGTTTTACTCACCCTTCAGTGATATTACATTAAATTACTATGGACAGTTGGTCAAGTATAATAAGACATTTCAGTGTGTCAGTTTGGTCTTTGGGAAAATGTCACTGGTGTTTTTTAAACACATTCCGACATTGATTAATCAATTGTAGAACTAACACATTCATTTGGCCAGTTGCTGTCAGCCTTAGATGGATTTGTGCGCTTGCCAATAAGAAATAGCACAAAAATGTGAAATGTATGTTTAGAACCTGTTTGTATTTTTTCCTGCACTCACAAGGCATTTTTTTAAAAAACATTTACCTTGATAACCACATTTCTGTAATATTTTAATAACCTTTTCATTAAACATTTGTGTATTTAACGTTTATTCAAATCATTATATATGTATGAGTGGAAGACACAGACTGCATTATCACTATTAGAATTTTAGTAAATGTGTAAATGTTCTTAACAGCCTTACAAATCCACCACCGCTTGGGCTCTAAAGTAGAGGCTCGCTATAATGAAATGACTTTATTTTCTGTTGTTACAGCTCAAAGTTGATTGTCCTCTTTAACTCTCTTCATTTCTTATCATCTTGTCCTCCCTCCCCTTCCTCTTCCTCCCTCCTGTCAGATGATGAAGCACGCGTGGGACAGCTACAGGCGCTACGCCTGGGGTTCCAATGAGCTCAGGCCCGTCTCCAAGCAAGGCCACTCCAGCAATCTATTTGGTGAGTGAGAGACCATACACACACACACACACACACACACAAACGCACACGCACGATTGATCTCTTGTCCCTGCCACCAACAGCCTTGGCCTTTAGATTAGCAGCCAAATTGGCCGTCAGTTAGAGTCATCCATCTACGCATGCCTCTAAATGTCAACTTTATCATATATTTATATTCTGTTTGTGCTTCCTGCCAGTTGTCAGTGTCTGGGCTGTTAATGAGAGTGGTGATGTGGGGCATCTTATTCTGTCTCTGCGTCTTTTTGTGTTTCACACTCTTGTAACTCTTTCTGAAAGTCTTAATTGTCTGTCTGCCTTTCATTTGTGAAGTAACACAACATGCCGCTAGACCTCTAAATATTACATACAGTGTGTGCTCACATGCACTTCAAGAGCTGTCTTTCAGTTATCAGTGGAACTAGTGGTCACTCCCTAGTGTGTGTGTGTCTGTGTGCGTGTGTGTGCAGCAGTGGCCAAACAAAACAAGGAGAATAACTACTTATTTTCAAAGTCTTTTCTTACCCCCCCCCAGCCGCACACACAGTACAGTTGCTTCTTGTGTTGTCTCAGTGTGTTTAGCCGGCTGAGATTGTTGGTTTAAAGGCTGGACTCTGTAAATGTGAAGCTAAAAGCAGATGATCACACAGATCTGCCATGACAGCCCAATTGCCAATGGCAGAGGATCAATGCAACTTATTAAAACTGTAATACCATGATCACATTTAATCTGCAGTGTGTTTGATTTCTTCCTAATTGTGTGAGGAGATAAAGGGATCAACGGAGCGTGCAGAAAAACCACTTAGGGTTTGATTGGTTCATTTGTGAAAAGAAGTCCTCAAACTGATATTTTGTGGATTTTGTTGATATTTATGGAGTTCACAGTTTTCATTCAGACACCCACAAGAGTAAAGTAGACCAGAGCTCATGACCAACTCCATAATTAAATAATGCTTAAATGTCTATAATTAGTGTCTTTGTGTGCACTTTCTGTGTTTGTACACGTTATGAATACTTTAATTTATTCTCACTGATTGGATGAATAGGAGCGGGGGATTGGATTTTTTGTTTGTTAAGATCTCTTTCTCTTGACCTAATTAAATTCTCAATGAGAATATGTGTTTAGATACCCTGAGCTCCAGATGAGTGCTGTGTGTTTGTTGGTGTGCGTATCAGTGGGCGGTTTAGTGTAGTGCCATTTCATGCTTTTGGTAAGATGGCATTCATGTGTGAAGGAGGGAGCTGCTGATAAGCTGCCACTATAATACACCTACCAATTCACCTACTTGATCTAGTTTGAAGTTTTGCTCATCATTTTCTTGCTGTCATAGTTGTTGTCAAGGTGCATGCCTGTGTCAGTGGAACCAGTAGCAGAGGAAACATTCACATTTTAACTGTTTTTGTCCTCCTCTGTAACCACAATATATTTCCAATACCATTTTAAAAGGAATTCCTATAATTAAGAAAAAATAAATAAATAAAGTGAAGTGGATCTGTCAGCTAAGTGGAAGAAAAACAGAAAATGCAAATAGTGTTTAGAGTGGTATAAATGGATTATTTTTGGCTCAGAGGCAGCTGTGAGAGCTGTAAGCGCCACACTGACACATTATCTCTTTATAAAGATGCTACAGTTTGCATCCCTTTAAACTGATAAACTTCTAGCGCTGCTTTACATGAGTCTGGAGGAGAAACGCTGGCTCTTCAGTGGCTAGATGTTCAACCCATGAATCATAAACCTCTTTCGGCGACGTCGCTGTGATGGGCATCAGGGTTCTCGGCAGCGTATTTCAGCATAGCGGGCCGCTACGCTGCTACCTGAAAAATAGGCTGTGTCTTGGCCCGCTACGCTGTCTTACAAGCTGTGCGATTGGAAAATTTGATATATTTTCCAGTAAAACATGTGCAAATTTTCCTAAGAAATGAATTCCTGCTGACGAATAGCATATGGTTTGTTTTGACAGAAACAACCATGTGCACATTGTGATATAAGATTGTTTAGGAAAGAACAGAGATCATATGTAGGCTAATTTATTTCTCCAGACTCGTGCTACCATATCACCCCCAAGGGTGATATCCTACCCCACTACGCTGTCAAAAATTTCTGGTGAGAACCCTGAGAATGTAGCATAAACATCCGTGCTGGCTGAAGCAGCACTAAGAATGGTGAGTGTGATCTAAAACAATAGTATCGTGGGTCATGAAACTGAAACAAGGAGTTTCATGATGCTAGAATGCTCTGACTAGCTCAGGGGGCCTGTTTCACAATACAACAATTAAATCCTTTATTTGTATAAATGTAGTGAGTATTAGATGACAGTCACAGGCCTGGGGGGCTGTGATTGACTCTGGTTATTGTTGTGCACAGTTTTATGCAAAGTTTAAAGAACAAAGAACCTCTGGCTTAGTTTCACTTCCAGTTGTAGCTGTTTTACATCCTTACTACAGTTTTATGTTGGACAATTGGTTGTATTAGAATTGGAAAAAAGCAGGAATCATAGTGTAGAGCTAATTTTGGGTGTTAGATCTCTGTGTTAAGATTTGAGTTGTTGATTTTTGGGTTTCTACTTATGGTCTACTCTCATAGATGACAGCACTTTGAGCATTTAGCTAAGATGTAATAGACAAGGTGGAAGCCATGGACTTTTGTCAGCCAGGGGGCTCCTCTAAAAATACTGTCTCACTTTTGTCCCCTGAAGAAGCCTTTTCAGCTTTACTTATAAAACATAGATCATCAAGCAACTCTTGTTATGCAGCACAACTTTTTCTGCTGTTATCAGACAAATGACCTATATGAGAAGATAAGAATTTGGTGTCAATCTACGTTTAGTTCTAGAAGTTTAAATCTGAAAATAATGGCATGTATCAACTGTTCTTCAAGATTGGGTGTTTTCTTAGAATGAAATAAATAACTTCCGTCTTTGCCCTGGAAACCTCAAAGATAGCATGCCAAAAACTCTGCAAAGTCTATTTCATTACACGGTGAGGAAGATTTACAAGCTCATTTTTAATGATTGCCTTCTTATGTTTAATGAGGAAATTCAATCAGCTTTGTGTAAATTCCATCTACTGTTTCATTACTGGAATTTATTATACGTAAATGTAGAAAGAGGAAGGAAAGCTGCTGTGTGAATACTAATTATTAGATTAGCCTGTTCAACTCTCCATGTTAGTCTTTCACTCTGTTTCCCCCTCTCTCTCTATCCATCCCTCATGTCTGTGCTATAGAAAAGTAAATAGGTTTTAGTTGGCTGCTCCAGCAGACCCACTTCCATCAGTAAATAAGACAGCATGGCCCCAGGGCCTTGTCACAGCCTTTTCCAGCTCCTATAGAACATGATGTATGATGATAATATTAGCCTGACCTGAAACATTATGCAATGAAGCTATTTTCCATACCTGAGGCTTATTTCAGCGATATACACTAACCTGGATAGCTGAATCAAACTAACCAGGAGACTTGGAGATTAAACATTTCAGGGTGTTCTTTGACAAAAAAAAAGTCCCAATAAATATTACTAAGCCTACTCCATGTTTTCCGTAAACAATGCTTTAAAGGATTATCAATTATTGAATATAAATCCAAGATATTATTTGCTAAACACAACAAAAACATTTAATGTGCTGTAGTTCAGTAGGAATTTTTTTTGCCATTTTTTTTCTTCACTGTTTTGGCTCAGAAGTTGTTATAGCAGCTTTTAAATTATCCAGTTCCACAAACCTCTCAGATTGTGACATTAATCATTTATAGTAAATATTAGGGCTGCAACTTTTGAGTATTATAATATTGTTCTTCAAAATATCAATCAAAATTACAGAACAGTCTCCTCGCTTACGCCTATGCTGGCTTCTTGGTCGAGCCAATCATTTAAAAACCCTAAGACAATCTATTTATTATCTCTCTAGACAAAGTAGCATGGACATTTTTCAACAAAGACGCTGAAAACAGGGGATGTTTGCTGTTTTTTGAAATGACTTTTACTGATCAAAATAATCGCTAAGTTTCTGTCAGTTGATCTGCCATTTCATTTATTTATCTATTCATCCACTTTCTCATGATTATCTGGGGTCGGGTCACGGAGGCAGCGGAGGCACGTCCCTCCCTCCACCACTGCTTTCCAGTTATTCCTGGTTTATCCCAAGGTGTTTTCAGGACAGATGAGATGTATAATCCCTCCAGGAAGTCTCCCAGGAGGCGTCCAGATCAGATGTCATATAACTCAACTGACTCCTTTGGACACGTAGGAGCAGCAGCTCTACTCCAAGCTCCCTCTGGATGTCCGAGCTTCATACCCCATCTCTATGGTTGAGCCCAGCCACCGTATGGAGGAAGCACATTTCAACCGCTTGTACTCGCAATCTTGTTCTAACAGTCACTACCCATAGCTCATGACCATTGGTGAGGAAGTAACTTTCCCCCAACCTGGAAGGAGCAGTTCACTGGATTTGTGCAGAGAACCATGATGTTGGACTCGCATTCCAGCTGCTTCACACTTGGCTGCAAACCACTCCAGTACGTGCTGAAGGTCATGTTGTGATGAAGCCACCAGTACCATCAGTACCATTGTCATCTGCAAAAAGCAGAGATGTTATCCTGAGGTTCCCAAACTGGACACTGTCCACCACCCTGCTATGCCACTTTACAGGCACTGTACCTGATGCCCACACGACATTGAAGAAATGTGTCTGCCACGACAGTCCATCAGTGTCCTGAGCCTTCAGCATCTCGGGGCAACCCTCATCCACACCTGGTGCTTTGCCACCCAGGAGTTTCTTAACTATCTTGGCAACTTCTACCACAAACATGGGTGAAGATTCCTCCGAGTCTTTAGGCTGTGCCCCTTCAGCAGAGGATGCGCTATAACCAGGTTAAAGAGTTCCTTGGTTTGCCAGAAATTCCTTGAGGCCAACTGAAAGTCCTTCTCCATAGCCTCTACGAACTCCTCTCAAAGCCAAGTTTAAGTTTTCGCAACTGCTGCAGCCCTTTTGGCTGAACAATGCCTGTC